ACCACTGATGCACCCATTACCATATCGACACAATCTGCATGGGAAAACTGCACCATAAACCGATTTCACCGACCGCTCGATGCTAACTGGCCCTTTTCGTGTTTTTCACGTTGCGATTAAAAAAGTGCCTGATAAAGTAACTTTTTTGGTTCTTTAACCGACTCGCTCTGTTCCATTCATTGTAGTAATTATGTAGGTCACAAAACAGTCCAGCGGCGCGTACAACAATTTACATTGAATTTCAAATAATTTTTTCTAGACACTGCTACTACTTAGGACCGTGAATTTTACCCAGTGACATAATCATATTGTGAGCTATTCCCCATTTTTTTTTTTGCATGTATTTCGCAGTCACCTTGTATAGTGGATCTTCTGGTCACTTTTTGGCCGGAAAATATAAATTCGTGCATATGGGTGGCTTCTGGCTCAACTTTGGCTTTCACTTCGGTCAAGGTTTTACACAGTTTAAAGTGTTTTCGCTAAAAAGCGAGCTTGAACCCCCAATATCTATCTACCGATTGATAATTTGTGTTACGTATTGTTGGACAATGTTAGGGATATTTCTGGAAAATGGAACGGTCTAAAATCTGTCCTTGTTGATAACTACATTAGACTTCAAAAAGATGGAACCCTTTAGAACAACTGTAATATTTTGTGAAAACTTGAGGGGGTTTCAGAATAAAACTAACTTTTATTTTTCCAGCGTAAGCTAAGATAAGACTGATTTTGGCAATTGATGTATGCTCTAAGAAAAGAGAGAGCGGGTGGACGGGGCTAGTATTTACTAAGAAAGGACTGATTTTGGCAAATGTTATACTTTCTAAGAAAAGAAAGGGTGGGTGGGGGGGTTAGTACCTGCTAAAATAAAATTGGGTATATGAAAATATGATTTTCTATTTGTTGGATTACATAAAATTGTTGAAATTTAACTATAACATTGCTTCTTTTACCGTGTATGTGTCAAAACTTAAAATGAGAGTAGACAAGCACAACAAAAATTATAAGCAAAGTTAAGAGTGCTTCACAAATTATGTCAGTGAAATTACATCAGTACTCGAGATTCCGTGCTCGCAATTGTATAAATTCGTTTTTGTTTTTAACAAAGTGTCTGTATGTTGTAATAACTGTGAAAACAGCCATATTGGCAAGAAAAGCGGTTTTAATTTCATGCTGTAGTCCATCATAAAGTTTTAATTGTAGTTTTAAATAAAACTGCGTATAATTCAATACCACAAAAAAACTGCTATGTTCGATCACTCTAAAGTCTGGTTTACACAAGTTTTGCGTACAATGGCTTCACACGTGTTCTATGCAAAGTATTACGTGCTTGTATACATACGATAATATATAAAGTTGGAAGAAAACTTGTACGTGCATATTAAGGCTTAACAGGAAATATGTCCTGGTGTACATTGTTTCTGGTGTCGAAAACATTGTAAAATTTATTATAAACTATATGTATAGTCACAAAAGAATAGATTAGTAGTGAATGCTTTTACGCGTTTAATTGTTGATCCAGAGATTTTAATGAACTGTTAGTTCCAGCACTGACGTTAAAATGTTACGATTAAGATGAGTTAGTCACATCAACGTTTGTAATAAGCTGTCTAAAATTTGTTTTGGCTTAATTATACATCTTACTATAGTAAAACAGCTATAATTTGCGTGTTTCCATTGTTCACTAATTACTAATCATTTAAACATACATCACTTTTTTATTTTATGTTTATTTATTTATCTATCTGTAATTAATAAGACTTTCCATTTTTATTAAATTTTAGCAAAAGTGATTAATTTTTTTCAGGGCCATGATTTAATTAAACCCGCTGAAGTGCTTTAATGGTTTAAAGGTGATCATCGACTAAACGTTGCACGGGGACTTTTTTTCAAAGTCACAAATCAAACTTCAGACTTTCGGCCATGTAAGAAAGTTCAATAACATTTTTTTATCTGAACTTTTACGTAGTCGGATTTTAAAATTTGGAAAACAACCTTGCGACAAAGCACTTTAAATACTTGCAATATTATAATTTTAACAATAATAGAAAATTACACAATTCATATCTCTTGGAAGAATTATTATGTGCCATGATATACAAATATCAGGCATCTATGATTAGAGGAAATGCGTTTTATTTATTGCGTCACTAAAGATTTACTCTATATGTGTACAGCGAATGAGTCATAATCTGGGTAATTCCAACAAAAAAATCAGCTTTATTCATTTCGTTGTTTCCCAATTCAATGTAACCTTTCGTTAAATTGCATGTAACACATATGTGTTGTATTTACATTTATATTTTTAGACTATGTTTAAAAAACACAGACCAGAACTGCTGCAGCTATAAATGTTTCAAAAATATAGCTTAAGCACATTGGTAAAATAAAAAGTAGCAAACGTCTTTGTGCTGGAAATAAATCAAACTGAAGGAAATGTGTAACTGTTGTACGAAACTACGAAGGGTCTTGTAAAAACTCCCGTCTCCACACACTAAGTAAAGATCTGAGTATAAGTTCTGGTATTGGGAGACTCGAGAATAAAAGCATTTCACTGAATAGTGTTTTTAATTATTATTTATGGAAATTACAATAAATTATCACATATACAAAAAAAAAAAATATATCGCAACAGTGCATATTGGACGAAACGGAGTTTGACACAAATAATACGAACGCAAAGATATTAAGCAACAATTCGTCAAAGTGTGTTTTAAAAGCACAATCATCACGTGGTCAACAAGTGATAATTTCTTCATGTCGGGAATGAAATTAGATGGGTTAATAACACACTACTAATTTGACTCAAACCGAGGACATGACAGCCGCTCTATTCCACCAATGGTTTAAGAAGCGATCTATTCTAAATCTGCCACCAAACAACTTCATGGTGAATACCTGTAGAAAGAAATATCAATCCCCCAGGAAGTTAAATTAAGAACTCGCCAAAAGTCCATACTTTCGTTATCTTTTAGGGTTGCTTTAGCAAATTCATATGGTATATAGTTATTTTTGCTTTTTATAAGTTCTGTGTCAACATTGAAAGAAATCCGTAGTTCAATCTACGGGCGTCAAGAAGCGCCTCCGTGAAGATATTCAAAATCTAGACGGTGCGAGTTCGGGAATAAAATTTCTGGCACGTTTATCTGTGATAAGGGTGTGCGCTTTCACTAACAGGTGTCCATTAGTGTTGTTAGTTATTACTTATTACACATTTAGATGCAATTTATAATATGAACGCGGAAAATAGTAAAATAATGAAACGAATACAAACAACTTTATCGTCTACAACATTGACTATACACAGTCATGAAGGCCATGCACGGTCGCGATGGTCACTGGGGCACGATAATAAACACTTACTATAAATTAAAATAGTAAATTGTGGTTGAAATCACTGTCACTTCCACGACGAGAAAAAAATCTGGTAATGCAACAGTAGAGAGACATTAAAATATATATACCTACTTTCGTGGGAAATGTTTTTGAAATTTATCTGTTAGAATGACAGTGATTTTCACCACAAAAAACATTATTTAAATCTGTAATTAAACGAACACGACAACAATAAAAACATTCCAAAAATCCCACAGATCTAAACAAAACAGAAGGCTCGAGAGTTGACGCAAGGTAGAATGTCAAAAATGACCTGCTTCACAAATGTCAAAGTCTGAATGATCCTGTAATTAAATCTTAATAATTTAGTTTCGACCCTTCTTGTTGTTTCTTCTTTAATCGTGTTGTTTCTATTGAATGTAAATTTGATGTAGAAACAAATAAAACGATTTAAAGTAAATATGACTTAATTAAAATTGTCAGTTCCACATCAGCCATTGATATCAAAGCCAGACATAGAAAAGGTCAAAGTCACAACACCCATAATTTATGATCCGCCATAATGATGGGTAATTCCAGGTTATAAACTACAAAAATCCAACTGTGGAACTCGATTAAAACCTACTGTATATCGCTGTCAAAAATTTTTAGTAGAATTTTATGAATTCAACATACACGTCAATCATATTACGTAATATATTTTCTGGTCACCTGTTTATGCGCTCAACTTGACCCAAAACAGACAAACAGGTTCTGTATCAAAGCATTAGAATGCAAAAAAACGAAACTCCAATTTTTGACGTAAGTCGCTGATCCACGTTCTAAGTGAATTCAGTCACCTTAATACAAAGTAAAAAACTGTTAAAAAAGTCCACTAAAAGTAAAACCGGTCAGTGCGATTCGTCTCCTTTCAGTTTCAAGAATAGGCTTGTGTTTCAACACTTACCTTTTGGGCTTAAAACTGAACTAAATTCACAGAGGTCGTCAAGGGTCCTTCTTGCAACTAAACGTGTGTCTAAAATCGGTGAACAAGTTTTATGATTGTCAAGTTTGCGTAAACTGAGAGAAATGAAACGTTTGTTAGAAAGAGATAAATCATAGATAAAAAACATAAGGTTGCAAAATTGCCAGGTACTACAATTCTTGTTTCAATGAAAACAGCATAGTTGGCGATGATTAAGTCATCTTTTGTCACAGGAAAAGATGTATATAATATTTAGTTTTTTGTACGTGATACACGCGATTTGTTAACCTTGACAACAAACAATACGAAATAAATCACATGGTATTATTTGTAAAGAATAGCCAATTGTGCAATTTGGAAAATCGTATTAGAATAGCTCCGTGGCATACGTGCCTGTGAATCGGAAATGATGGCAACATGTAAATTGGAAATCGCTAATCAATGTATTCAGTGTTGACGTAAACTAGTATATACTTATGTATTAAAAAAAGGCGAATAATTGATGCCGCTGGGTGCCATAGGTCGACTTACTGAGCCACCATTGGACTTGAGCCATTTTATAATGATAAAATAAACCGTGTCTTGATTGTTAAGACCATTACAGCAAATATTCATTGTATAACAGATGACACATTACTTAAACAATTGTAATAATTCATATTAGATAATCGGTCATAAAAAGACGTCGGAGAAAAGTACTTACGTGTTTTCGACGAAAAAGATGCCCAAATAAAGCTGCAATTTTATCAATACGTCACACTAATGGGGGTTTATAGTGTAACTACAACACGAGTATTAAACTAGAACAACACGCGTAGAACGTGAATGGCGAACTTAGGTCTTATACTTGCACATTAATCATACTGAATTATGGAAGAACAAATACAAGGTTGTCGTGCTGATTACATAGCCACTATTTGGAGGTTAGGGTCCTTTTATCTGCGTACTCAAAAGTATTTTGTGTTGCCTACGTATTAATTTATCCTTTTTAGGTGTAAGTTATTGGTAATAATAAACTTTAATTAAGTTTAAGTACAATGATACAATAATGAAAGAAAAGAAAAAAATGTGTACCTATTGTAAATTCGTTAGATGGTTTTTAACCTCATATTAAGTAGGGTTCGTAAGCCAGACGACCAACAATACACTCTAATTTTTTTTTAAATTCAACTGCTTTATTTGAATTGGAATATCATATAACATATTTTTTTATCAGTGGCTTAACAATGTATCTAATTTTTTAACCTTAAATATAGGGGTCAAGTAATGAACATTTTTCTTGTGATTTCAGATAATTAAAGACATTATTTATTATATTGGAAGAGGACACTGATAAAAAGCACTTCATCTGGAATAACATTCAAAACCGCAGTTATATAATAATAAATTTATCATAATTTTACTTTTTATTTATCGTACATAAGTTAAAAATTTCCACTATATTTAATACTGTAATGACCTCAACCGCCTTCATATGAATATCAAAAGATAATAACTTCCTATTTTAGTTCAGCTCTAAAGCATTTAAAATCGCATTTTCTTCGATTTCTCTCCTTTTCTTGACGATGTTGACTGAAAGCTACAACAAATTGCTAAATTACCAAAGTAAATATATAATATCAGACTTGTTCCCCCTACATATTAGGTCGCTGCCAATTTGAATGTTTCCATTGTCTTCCGACATACACATACATAAATCATCATCAAAACTTAGTGCAGCAGCTCTAAAAAACAAACTGTCTATATTCTCTCCTGTCTTAGCTGAAACGCTCCAAAATTCGGCATTTAATTTTTTTGCGGTGTTTAGGGCTAAGTCTTCTACACTGTTGTAAGATTCATTTGACTGAAATAAATAGCATCACTGTCTGTTTTTTTTTTTTCACTTTTCATGTTATATATTACAAGCAGATCTTTTTTGGCTCCGACCAGAAAAATGTAAGGACGATTATCTGATTCGCCACGCACTTCTAATGCATCTCGTAGCCAGTTTTTACAATTAGCCAACGTTCTTATGGAAGATAAATCGAAAACCAGCATAATTACTAAAAAGAAAAGATAAATGAACCTTTGCTGAACCAATAAAAGGCATCTAGTAGTTAAATAAAGGCGGAGTGATGGTTTTTGAGTGGCGTTTTTCAAAACGTTTTCAAAAAAATAAGAAAGAAATTAAAATAATTGTACCATAATTGAAATTAAAAAATTATAACATTTATCCCAGCATATGCTTAAGTCGAGTTCTGTTACTTACCATGTGCTTTTCTGTAATAACACTGAGCGATGCATTTAAAACGCTCCTGTCCTGCTGTATCCCAACTAAATCAATTTCTTTTGTTTTAAATAATAAATTTGTATGACACACACTTACATCTGCAAGTAATAGGGAATTCCCAGAATATTGATTTGTTCAGATTGAAAATCAACCCCAATTGTGCTCCTGTAGTTACTGTCGAAAACTTTATAGCAAAATCTGTAACAACAAAATCGTCAATTTTTACTCAACAAAACTTTCTTATCACTGGTTCACCTATTTAAAAGTGAAGTTTTCCCGACACACAAATCGCCCAAAATAATCACTTTACAAACTTTTAAATTAAAACCTGAATTCTGTGGGCAGGTTTCACCAGCAGCGACACTAAAAGCGAATTTATCGTAGGGAGTAAAATTAAGAGCTTGAGGAAACTTTTCTATTTCTTTGTTTTCGAACATTTTCGCAGTAAATGACAAACTTCCGTTGTTTGTATTGAAATACGCGGTCGCACATGAATGACAGTTATTTAAAAATGGCGCTCGTTTTTCCTAACCTCACTTTTTGTTGATTGAAAAGATTGAACATGACAGTGGGTTGCAGTAATAAGTAATTTGTGTATTTGTGGGTATTTATAACACAAAAAATGGCACTGGAATGCACCGAATGTAATCGTACTTTTACTATTAAAAGTAATTTGACGAGGCATCTTCGTATGGTGCATAGTATCGAAGTGGAAAGGTTGGATATACTTCCGAGGGATATCGATACTTACCATTATAAATGTTTAGAGGGTTGTAATATATCTTTTAAGTATAATCGAGAATTAAGGAAACACTTGCGGTTGAAGCATGAGGTTAATTTAGTGGAGTTAAATTTGGAGTTTCCGAACACAGAAGGTATTAGGGACAATCGGTTCTGTTGATATTGTATTAAATTTGATTGTAGTTTTTAATAAGTGGCTGCACGATGAAGAAACTAATAATTGTGTTCAGTATGTTCACTTGACTGCGACCAAACGGAAGACCACAGGGACCGAGACATATTATTATGAGTGTAGTAGAACAGGTAAGCGAAATTAGTGTCATGCGTCATTACAAAAAATGTGTAGTCTTAAAGGTGAAATTAAGAAAACCCAAATTTTTAAAATTGTCATGCTTGAAATATCTAAACTACTTAGAAATTCTTAAATTAAATCCAAAGGTTCAAATTTTTGTGGTAATTTACAGGGTCCAACTCGTAGAGATTTTTATGTAGTCATTATAATTTTACAAATAATTAAATCAATACAAAAAGTGTATTTTAATTGTATATATATACCGCGTGTCTGGAAAATGGCGGATTAACTCTTCAGTACGTTATATACGGGAGTTTCGGGAGTACCAAAAAAATAATAAAAAAGTCTTTATGATGTAGATTACGAAAAAAACGTAATTTTATAAAAGCAAAATTGGCAACACAGCACACACCTAATGCGTGAATACATCCGGATTACTTTCTGGTTTCTTAGTAACGATGGTGACTGAAATCCACCTTCGCTTGATATCAGGTAAAAGTTGTTGTCAAATGCAATTTTATCAAATTATTACAAAAACAACATAGCCATATCTGTGCATTCTAACTGAAACGGTAATTAAACATGGTCATGGGTGAGAAAAATATTAACTAAAAGTTTTATTATATACTAGTTATTATGATAATGAATGAGTTGTTTAGTTGTTAAACGTAGCAAAAGAAGCAATTTGAAAATCATTATAACTCCACCAAAATGTGAGAAGGATTTTTTTTACTAGTTTTCCCAGATTCACCAGTTGATTGTTAAGAGCGTAGCGGAGAGTTAATCCGCCATTTTCCAGACACCCGGTATAACAAAGTTGACGTCCTCTAGACTAGTGTAGATAGCGAAAACTACAGGACTATTTGTGACCTTTAACTCAACATAAGAGTTTTACATCAGAATTGTAACGGAAACGTGTTTTAGTATACCTATATTACATAGTATTTTAGAATGCATTTTTTCAATAAAAATGTTTCTTTAATGATTATATTAATACGTCTGTTAAAATTTGAATTGCAATTTTTTCCTAACATTAAGATTTTATGTATACAGAATGTTTTACGTAAAACTTTTAATTTTTTTTAGTTTGTAACAACTGAAATTCAAAATACCTACATATGTGTATAAAAAAAAATGTAAAGAATTTAGGCAGTACTTCTTTCAATTCTTTGCTCTCACAAACATAAACACATAAAGATGCATATTGTTTTACACACTTTAAATAGGATCTACTTAGCAAACTTTTGAGACGACATCATTAAAGCTTTAGTGGGGATGGATTGGTAAATGTTTATGAATAGTGAGACAACCACCTGCCTGTAGATAATTACTCAGAGTGCAGCTTGGAATCGAATGTGAATATTTCGGACCTTCGTAAATAATACAAGTCATTTACAGTATAATATTTAACTGCATTTTATGAATTTAGGAAACTGTAAAAAGTTTAAAAAGTATAACTTAATCTGTTAAAAAGTTTTTATTCATGACAATAATATAATAAAATAAAGGCAAACATATAAAGCGGCAATAACGAAAAATAACTCCTTGATCACAATTTGTCTAATTAGCCCTACCAACAAAGAGATGACGTCATTTCCAAAATTTACGATAACAAATGTTAATTAATTTTATAAAATAACATACACCTGCACTTCTGTTTTATGAATCCGTGTTGAGTTTTTTTTACCTTTGACATCTAGATGTTTGAAAAAAAAAAATCAAAATTGTATACCAACATTTTGCAATTTAATTCTGAAACTGCAAAACTGAATGCTCTGAAATCTGCAAACGTGTTAACGTTATCGTAAGCATAAGGTAATCGTCAATAAAAATTTATCCATTTATCCCCTCCCAAAAAATTGATGACGTGTTCTCGAAATTTGCCGATTGAATCCTGTCTAAGATATGCGGATAATTATGGATCTACTGACCTTGCCTCTCAAGTAGGTTGCGTGCAACTATCCTGAGAGATTAGGACCACCTGCCTACAGATTTTTTTTGACCGCGGCGCTCAATTGACCATAATTGTGGATTTCTACTACAACAACAACATCATCGTTTGCGTTTTTCTTTAGATTCACATTTTTAATATAATCGAATTAAAAAAAAAACTGCAGCAGTTGATGAAAAATGACTAATTAGTCTCCAGTAAAAGTGTATACGAAATCTGGGTAAAATGAACAAAATAACCTGTATTTATCTACCATTTAAGAAGATTTAAGAAGCAGGTGCCTACCCAATTTTTAGGAACGAACAAACAAGTTTTGGTTAGCGTTTAACTATTTACATGTCTAAAATTCTATAGTATGTATAGTCGCCTCACCACGTTAAGAAACTTTGACTAAAGTTATAAATCATAATGACGAAGAAACCCGTCGGATTTAAGTACCTACTTTACCACAGTAATGTCCATTTGCACGAAGCTTGACGCAAGCTTTGCTTAACTAAGAAGTGTTTAATTTTAAGTGGGACTTAAATTGTTTGCCTATTGCATATATCTAATAGTACTATATTGCTAACTGGCCTCAAAAGATTCCGAAAACATAACGGCTCGGACCTCTCTGTCTCTCTGTGGTACCAAACAGTACTGCGCATGCACTCATACTTGGTTGATTTGTAGTGGATAGCGTGACTGGATGCGTTTTGACATTTCGTACTTTCGCTTCTATTTTGTGTACATGCGCACAGGTCCTCGGTACTCTTATAGACAGAAAACAACATCTTCTGTCTCTCTCTGCCCGTGAACACCGTTTCTATGTTACTTCTGAAGAGTTAGCAATATAGTACTATTAGATATATGGCCTATTGCATCATCGTTGCTTATCCGTCGCTTAATAAAGCAATGCTTAGTGAGTTTAATGGAATGCGGACTTCTATTGGCAACACTAGCAACTGAGGTATCTTCAGCTCATGATCGTAACATGCAAAGTGTAACATGATTGACAACAGCGACCGAGCATGCGCTCTTTCGTTTCTTATTGTTAAGCAGAACTTTAGAATTTAAGCCATCAGTACCTGCCGAAATTAAACTCGTTTTGATCATTTCAATTAATTTTCATTTCAAAATTTCGTTATCCAATTTTATATAAAAATCCAGAATTTTACACGATCTGTTTTAACGGTTTTCACACAAAATACTGCTATCAGTTATGTTATGACATAACAATTTAGCAACTTTTTTGTTCTGCAATTTCCTAGGCAGGGAACTATTTAAACGTTTTTATTTAAATTTTAGTTAATTAATATTGATATTTACAACTGTATTTTGTACATTGTACATGTTAATCCTATACAAAGTGCACTTATTTTTTATAACGTTATTTTCTTCACTAACTGTCAAATTGCGAAGACCCAGCAACTCTTGATTTTTTGGCTTGATATTGGTCAACTTGTCCTTTCAAGTTCAAGTACGCAATAAGCTTTCATTTCCATTAACTTTCTTAGCCTTACACCAATCTTCAAAAGCTTGATAAACCCCGTTGTACCTCATTTTTTATTTTTATAGTAGCAGGTCCTTCACAGCCTTTGCTCTCGCTTGTTAGATGCCTAAAGGAACCTCGTCCCAAATAATTCCATTGCAAAAAACTTTGACACAAAAAATGCAAAAAGAGGGTTTTTGTTTATTTACCAACTATTAAAACGAAAGAAATGAACCACTAGATATTTATAGAAAAAAGAATTGAATTTAAAATTATTTTTTATTGTAATTAACGGTTTCAGAAAAAATGAAATATATGACTCGTCAGTAAAATGTCCGTACTTGACTCGGAGGCTTAAAATACTCACCAATAATAATCCATTTTCCCCACTTTTATGTAAATAACTATAAATTAACGGTACTGTAAAAGTAGTTTTTAAACATTCGTTGTATTTAAGAATATGGAGTACAATATTCTTTAATATGTAACATGAAGGTATATATGTAAGCTAGACTTCTTAAAAAAATAAAATATGTTGTTCAATGAATTAATAGAAAAACTTCTTAATTCGTAGAATAAATACCCTTCGTGGTGACATCATGTCATTTATAGTAATCTTCAGTACGATCGGTCACTGATACACTAACACATGACAAATAGACTCAGTTTAGTCCGATGTGAAGACAACGTCGCCGCCGAAACGCGTCATTTCATGTGATTTTGAAGTCAGAGATGTCAACTGGAATACTTTAATCACAACCTACTTTAAATCAAACTCGTTTTTTTTTGCAGGCCGACGAACCTTCGTTGATGACACCATAAGAAAACGCAAATCACGAAAATGGCCCACCAAACTCAACCGCGGCTGCACCAGCCAGATCATAGTGAACAAGTCACATGACGGTTCGCTTAGCATAATCTATTTCAAAACGCACTACGGCCACGACATCGGCATCGAACACATGAAACTATCCAAGCAAGATCGAGGGGCCATCGCTTCTAAGCTTCTATTAGGTTTACCAATCACTACAGTTCTACACTCTGCGAAAAATACAGCGGGTGATATTAAACGTATTAATCTCATAGAGCGCAAAGACATCGTTAACATCCGTAGAGCCTTTAACATTGATCTGAAAGATGGGAAAGTGGTTAATATGAACCCGATTAATGCATTCCTCGCGGAGTGCAGTAATCATAAATTGAACCCAATACTGTATTGCAACGTCGATAGTTTTCCAGAATGTGAAGATATTTGTGTGATTATAATGACGAAGTATCAGTCTGAAATGTTGAAAGCTTTTGGTGGTAACATCGTCGTTATCAATTCAGTACCTTTAAAGAACTGTGATTTTGAATTGATTACTATTTTTGTTATTGGGAAAAGCTGGAAGAACGAGTGGGAGAATTTTTCCAGTTGGGAAAGTTACCCTGCTGCTTGTATGTTCACCAATAATGTTAGTAGCAGCTATTCACTTTTTTTTACTAAAATTAAGGAAAAGATGGGAGCCATTTCGCCTAAAATTTTGTTTACTAATTGTGATAAAATGTACTACAACACGTGGAAGGAAGTAATGGGGGATGTCTCCCACCACCTTTACACACCTATTCAAATACACATCGACTGGAAATTAAATTTAAACCGGGTCATATGCACAGAACCCGATGTGACTCGAATTAAAAGAAAATGGCTGTTTGACTCCCTCACCAGTGTCCAAAACTGTCAAGACGAATCAGACTTCTTAGAAAATTTTGAACCAACAGTAAAAGTAATCCAGAACGATCCAGATTTTATAGATTTCCACCAATACTTCGTGCGCCACTATAACGATCCACAAAAGTGGGCCACTTGCTACAAAACCGGTCTAGACTTGCCTTTAAAACAACTCGACGTGATCAGCGATGTGTTAAGACACTACTTGAACGAGGAAACGGAAATCCGATTTGACAAAATTTTCCACTCTCTGATCAGATTCATTAGAGACGAAACCGTAAACTCTATGTTGAACACAAAAACGAATCGGGTTTTCTTTACTAACGAAAATGATGCTAGACATCGGGCACTTGGTGATAAAACCCTGGATGGCACACACTTGGGCGAGAACTTGTGGAACGTCGTCGAAGACCAACAAACACACCTTGTTCAAAAATTTTTGGAAAAAAGATGTTGCAATTTAGTTTGTAGCACGTGTCATATTTGTCTACATTGTTTTAGCTGCAGCTGCGTGGATTTCTTTGTCGAGAATGCCATCTGTGTTCATATTCACTACATCTGGGTTACGTATTTCCAGTCGATCGTGCAAAATGAAGATGACTTGGATGAAGAAATCGACCACGATTGTACCGAAGAAATTATTATAGAAGTTGATGAGAAACAAGAATATGATGAGATGAATCACGATGTTCACTATTTGCGTAACGCTATTGTTGAAAAGAGTTCGATTTTGTGTGAGAGTATTGGAAGACTGGAGGATAAGAGTGCGCTGAAGGCGATTTTGGATACGATTAATCAGTTGTGTGATTTTAGTGTGAACGGAGAGGTTAGTACTGTGAGTAAAAGTTCTTTGGGTGATCATTCGTATTTATAAGGTTTTGTTATTTCAAAAGTGGTTGGTTTCTTCCTGTGTACATACTCATGTAATGTAGGTTAAAATGTAGAGCCTAATACGAGCTCGCTTTCTTTTCGTTCGTTACTTCCGAGGCGAAAAATAAATTCAAGTTTTAAAAATTGGTTTTAATTATTTTTTTATAATTTTGTGTAAGGTATGTTATTTTTCCTAAATATATATGTTTTCCAATTGTAAAGGTTAAAATTGGTTTTTAATCATTGTTTAGTAACTTTATTCATTCAATGATGAAATTTTTTTCATCACAAGCGAGGCAAAAATTTTAATCACTGGTCAAATTTCAATTTTTTATACAATGTAAATGACAATTCTGTGCTAATAATAGTTATTTATTCTACAAAAAGGTAAAAAGAAAATTTACCCACGAATGAAAAGTTTGCGTAATGAGCGAGCGTAGCGAGCGAGTTGGGTAAATTTCATGAGTGGGTAAATTTTTGTTTACCTTCGAGTGGAATACAAAATTTTATTTTATACTGTTTATACTGTAATAACCCAAACTTCCCGCCTTTAAATAATTGACCTTGAAAAAGTTTGAAAGGCCCGCCAAAAATTTAAAAATTCAAAATTTGGCCTTGGTTGGGATCGTCTAACAAATGGGAACCTAAGTTGTGTTTTGTTTTTGAAAAGTGGCGGGAAGACGTTCTTTCATACAAGTGAGCACTGCGTGTGATTCGAGAGCGCAAGAAATAATAGACAAAATTGTTTTGGAGGGGCTACCATGGCACCCCCTATCGTATATTCCCGGACATATTACATTTCAAACACCTTAAGATATATGAAAAAAAAGACACTCGCCAATTGACAGACGCAAAATCCTATACATCTGTTTGGAATCAATGCAAATATTTGAATATCATAAATTTAATAAAACAAAGCAAAATCTGAATTAAAGTAACTGGATGCAAATACACAAGTTATTACAGGCGTGTCGCGTCAGATTTTAAAGTTACGGCAGTTAACAGGAGCACAATAAGTACCCCTGGGGCGTGCTAGCACCAGCGGAGTTTGGGGCTACCGGTCTGGGGCTGTTCTCCCCCCACTACGGTGATTCTATCTATCACAAAACCTACCCGCACTCACAGCTCCATTACGATCATGCTGTGCGAAACTAGGCCATTACGGCCGCCAGACCCGTAAGTGGATCTCGGCTAAGGACAGAAGCCGAGAACGTTACGACATCGGCGGCCGCCCCTGAATCTATCCAAACCTGTGGACTTGTACAGGTGACACGATAAATCTCGCCAGCTCGACTAGGAACCGAACCTCGCTTCTGCCACGTTTTCTGTGTTATTTAACCTCAATTCCATTTTAAATATTCAATCTTTTATAACTCTGATATTAACAACCACTGACCAAGTGTTAAAGTTTCAAAGTGAGATTAAAGTTGGTCATCAAATAATTTATATGATAGAAACATTCATCAACAAAGTATTTATAAAACAAAACTTAGCAAGGATTTATGAAACAAAAGATCTGGTGTGAAATAAACTTGCACAAATAGAAATATTATGTGAGGTTAAAACTGTCGAACATGAAATTTAAAAAATTACTGAGGTTAAAATTGTGAGATTAAGAAATATTGTATGAGGTGGAAAATTGCAGAGTTAACAAAATTTACAGGAGATTAATAATTGCCACACTTTATCAACGATTTAAACAAAGAGTTTACATTATGCCAAATTATATCATGATCTAAGCGATTGGTTACTCAAAAAAAAAAACAATTTACTTTGAAAGTTTAAAATACCTCGAACTGGTTACCCCAACAAAACACATAATAAACAAACACAAAAATATCCAATCATCGCTCTGAGGAAAAAGCGTCTCGGTGATGTAAATTTTACAATCGTTGCGAGGAAAAAGCGTCTCGGTGATGTAAATTTCAAAATCGTTGCGAGGAAAAACGCGTCTCGGTGATGTAATCAATCTGCAGCGTCGTGAGGCATGCCTTGATAAATTAATCAATCTGTAGCGTTGTGATGACATGCCTTGATGAATTAATCAATCTGTAGCGTTGTGATGGCATGCCCCGATGAATTAATCATGATAACGATGATAAGCGCCTAATAAGTGAATTTCATAAAATCTTCTAGCAAGTGGTTTATTTAAATAATCCTGATTGTTTAAATTGTTTTAGCACTAGCTGACGATTAAGAAAAACTAACTTGATTGGTGAATTTTCAAACAATAAGACAAATTTAAAGCACGTGTTTCGCGTCGAAGGCCGCAATTTTTCGATTAAAAGGCCGCAAGGATTAACCGCGCGGGTTGGGGACAACAGTGACGTCGGTTACGATTGATTGTCGTTAAACAAAGGCTTCCCCCCATTTTATTAATTACCAAACCAACTAATTTAAACCTAGCTCTTACCACGTGTTTACACTCACAAAGACACATTCATACTGATGCTCCGCCATGCAGCTTCTGTCTAACCACCAACCCTCTAACTAAAATCCCCTAGCGCTATAACTAAAACATGCAGAACAACCTTGGTGCCTGGGGCATTACATGCATTAAACCCAACGTGCATATTTGGTTGCCTATGTTTAACGATTTATGATTTGAATTATTTTTTTCTTTTTCAAATTCAAATTATTCAAATGTGATTTTGCGCCGCTGTTAATTAATTTCAGCGCGAAAATTTTGATTTAAATTTGGTCACCACAATACTTTTATCGTTTTTTTAAATATTTAAAAATAACAAAATTTCGCAACCTTTCATTGCAGCATTTGGCTGTGAATTTTACCTAGCAAGCATTGTTTAATATTTTCCACGCCAAACTTTTTAAAAAAACGCGTCTTCATTTACAATGAATACGGTAATTGTACAATAAGAAGTAGCATTGGAAGCTTCAAAACCAATATCCAGTTTACTTTCCACTAAGTTTTTTTAATTTGAATTTTAGTAAACCAGCGAGAGTAATTTCTACTTCCACTTCGATTTCCATACTTATCAAAAATGACTGAACTGTGGGCAAAAATGATATAAGAGTGGATAAAATTACACTTTCCCCAGTAGCAAGCAATATTTTTGTAATATTTATACAAGATTGATATAATATTAAATGTTGACTAGATATTACAAATATTTATATCATATTCATTTTCTATTTATAAATTTATATATGAATTTCAACATATATTACATATTTATGAAATGTCTTTTTATTAGGGATGTACCGACTAGTGGCCGACCGGTCGGATAAGCCGACTATTCGGCCGTTTTTCATCGTCGGCTGCAGTCGGCGACTGGTCGGCTAAACAGCCGACCGGTCGGCTTTTTTTATTAAAATTAAAATAGTATATAAAACAATTAAACCCGGTTTACAGAACCTCAATTAAATATTTAATTGCGATTTAATTTTTAACCCCGCGTTGAAGTACCATGTGACCGACTCTATGCCAATCAGACGTCGCTAATGGCCTTGTTAAATGCGCGATCAACTTAATCTCAGTTAAAATATTGTATAAACTGGCCCTAAATTGTGTTATTCTTTATTTTTGTACTGAGTTACTAAAAAAAAAATTAAATGTTGTGGTGACCGAATTTAAATCAAAGTTTTCGCGCTGAAATTAATTGACAGCGGCGCGAAATCACATTTGAATAATTTGAATTAAAAAAAAGAGAAAAAAAAAGAAATTTCAATCACGAAAAGGGAATCGTTAAACATAGGCAAACAAATAGACACATGGCTGGGTTAATGCATGATCTTTGGGTTAGATGGCAGCACGTAGCGCTAGGGTGATTTCAGTTATAGGGTTGGTAGAAAAAAAGGGTGCATGGGGTAGAATGTGTCATTATGGTAGTGGCGGTGAGAGTGTAACAACGTGGTAAGAACTAGGTTTAAATTAGTTGGTTTGGTAGTTAATAAAACGGGAGGAAGCCTTTGTTTAACGACAATCAAACGTATTTTTCATAATGATACAGTTGTCCCCAACCCGCGCGGTAAATTCTTGCGCCCTTTTAATCGAAAATTGCAGACTTCCGGTCGACGCGAGAAACCACGTGGTGTAAATTTGTTTCTTTGTTTGTAAATTTACCAACCAAGTTAGTTTTCTTAATACTCAGCTAGAGCAAACACAATTTAACAATCAGGATTATTTAAGGAAACCGTTTGCTAGAAGATTTCATGAAATTCAATTAGTCAGGAAAAACATCTTATGTTTAATTACGAATAGGTCTCTGGATGCATATACGTAAGTGTCACATTATAGTAGGTCCATGGTTACATTATAACACTTCTAAATTCTTCACACAAGATTGCTAATAGTTCATTTACGGCAGTTAAACAAGTTCATTATACTGCGAACTGGCGGGGGGTTATGATATTTTCTCCCCTTAGGTGGTTATCATCGTTATCACGATTAATTCATCGGGGCATGCTTCACGACGCCAGATTGATTAATTAATCAATGCATGCCCCCCAACGCTACAGAAAATTCACATTACCGAGACGCTTTTTCCTCGCAACGATTTTGGAATTTACATTACCGAGACGCTTTTTCCTCGCAACGATTTTGGAATTTACATCCCCGAGACGCTTTTTCCTCGGAGCGATGATTGGATATTTTTGTATTTGTTTATTATGTGTTTTGTTGGGGTAACCAGTTCGTAGTATTTTAAACTCTCAAAGTAAATTATTTTTTTGAAGTAACCAATCATTTAGATCATGATATAATTTGGTATAATGTAAACTCTTTGTTTGAACCGTTGATAAAGTGTGGCAAATATTAATCTCATGTAAATTTTGTTAACTCTGAAATTTTCACCTCGTACTATATTTCTTAATCTCACAATTTTAACCTCAGTAATTTTATTTATTGTATAATTTTAATTGAACGTAATTTTCATGTTCTACAGTTTTAACCTATCACAATGTTTCTATTTGTACAAGTTTATTTCACACCAGATCTTTTGTTGCATAAATCCTTGCTAAGTTTTGTTTTGTAAATACTTTGTTGATGAATGTTTCTATCGTATAAATTATTTGATGTCCGACTTTAATCTCACATAAGAATTATTTCTTGTTTAAAATTTCACAAGATTGTATGGCGAATTTAAATGTTGTGTATTGCTCTTTTTTGAAACTTTAACACTTGTTC